AGATGGCCCCGGACCCCTGAGTGCACTGGGAGAGACGGCCCCGGACCCCTGAGTGCCACGGGGAGAGAAGGCCCCAGACCCCTGAGTGCCACAGGGAGAGACAGCCCCGGACCCCTGAGTGTCACAGGGAGAGAAGGCCCCGGACCCGTGAGTGCCACAGGCTGCACAGGGCTGCCCACACCCATGCACCCCAGTGATTCCACCAGAACTGAAGAGACTGACGATGGCAAATGCAACTCAGAACTGTTGGACAGGTGGCACTTGCAGTGGCTTCCTGCAGGACATAATATCTGGCTTTACTTGAAAAAGGAAACGATTTGCATATTTCTGAGAAGGCAGCAACTACCACAGAAGAGCTTTTCCTACTTTCATGTTTTGGGGCCCCACCCTGTGGTGCTGGGATGACGCTCGCCCTCCCCCTGCACTCTCTCTCTGTGCTCTCCGGGCCACAGGGCAGAGCTGTCCTGGGAGGAGGACGCCGTGGGCAGGGAGCACCAGCAAACCGTGCCTCTTGGCCCCCTGCCCTGCATCCTCCTGAGGGCTTGCCTGAGCACTCTGGCCAGAGGAATTTCTCAAAGCATTCCTGTGGCCAGCAATGCCAACGTGATGATACGAATGTGAATCTTTTCAGACCTTTGTCTTCTCTTTTTTGAGGTTTGTAAGAGTTCCCTGGTACTCAGTAAAACCAGTATTGCTAGTTACATACTCTCCTTAGTAGGCCCTCAGACATTCTAAAATTTGAAGGCTGGAGCGACAGCACAGCGGTAGGGCGTTTGCCTTGCACGCAGCCAACATGGCCGACCCAAGTTCGATTCCTCTGCCCCTCTCGGAGAGCCTGGCAAGCTACCGAGAGTATCTCGCCCGCACGGCAGAGCCTGGCAAGCTCCCCGTGACGTATTCGATATGCCAAACACAGTAACAACAAAATCTCCAATGGAGACGTTACTGGGCCCGCTCGAGCAAATTGATGAACAACGGGAGGACAGTGACAGTGACAGTGACAGCCCTCTCATGGTTGGCTGCTCCCTCCCTGCTGGCTTCTGGGCCTGGGGGCAGCCAGCCCCACGCTGCGAGTGAGTCTTCGTCCATCTGTCTGTCTGTCTCCCCAGGAGATGGCAATGGAGCAGGGCCCTGCCAACACCTGATACCTTTGGGTCCCTGCCTCCTCCAGCTCTGGGGGCTGCCCAGCTGTGGGCCCCTGGGGGAAACCCACCTCCTGAGATCTCGACAGGTTGGGGAAGGGGAATTCCAGGAGCGTGGGGCTGCTGTGAGCCCGGTCTGTGCAGCTGTCAGGGGACTTGGGGTGAAAGAGAAGTGGGGGGCCCCTTGCGGCATGAAGCTGAGCACAGGAATATTTTAGGGAGATGGCATAATCTGGAAGAAACGTGCCCGCTGATGCAGGAAGCTGGAATGCCAAACAGTTCCTGGGCTAAACTTAGCACAGCACTCTGTGCTGAGCCCTCGCGAGTAAACCAGGAATGCAGGGCCAGGCGCTCACGTTGGCGTGCTGGGCAGCAGCCCTGGGCCAGGCTGGTGGCAGGTGCCTGCGAAACCGCTGGGAGGTGACGGCTGAGTTTCTAGGCCTTCCCGTGAGCCGCTTCTGGGAGAGCAGGCTCTGGAAGCACGGAGGGAAACTGAGGCAGGGAGGCTAGCTCTGACCTGGAAGTCGTGGGGCAGCCTTGGGTACAGGGAGCTGGGGGACCAGTGTCCACCCTGCTGTGGTCCTGGGAGAGCCCCAGGGCCCACCGCTGGCGGGACAGTGTCTGGGCTGGGGGTGACAGGCAGGGTGTGGCTGCTGCTCCTGCCCGGTGGAGGACAGAAGTCAGGCAGCGGCCTGGCCTGGAGGGGCAGGAGGAGTCTGGATCGGCCGAGGCTGCAGCCCCTGCACACCCCCACAGGCCCCTGCTCTCCCTCCTCCCCTCGGTCCCGAGCCCAGACATGTCCCCCGGCCCCAGGTTCTCTGCCCTCCCCAATGCAGTCACCCCTCCTCGTGCTGGCCCGGAGGACACAGGGACCCTGGTGGGCAGCTCAGATGCAGGTGTCCCCCTGAACCCCACCTCCCTGCTGCTCAGGGCTCTGGGTCAGCTCCTCGGACTTGTGTTTCCTGTGGGGTTTGAGGGAACTCAGGCTTTTGACAACTATCAAGCCCCAGCCTGTAAGAAGCGGCTTGGAATGGAACATTTTAAAAACTCAGATGCGCTCAGGGGGCCATCGGGGTGGGACGCTGACAGTGATGGCTTGGCCTGTCGGGGAAGCCGTGAGGTCGCCTGGCCTGCTCAGAAGCACAGGCCAGACCCTTCGGGAGCGTGGGAGGCCAGGGTCCAAGAGGAGTCAGGCACGGTGACAGCTGCCACCACTGCCCCGGGACTCGGGCTCAGACTTCCCTGGGGCAGACCTCAGACCTCAGACACACACTCACCTGCGCAGACCCTCCCCAGACACGCCAGGCCTCTGACTTCCGTGCTGGCTATTTTCCCCTTGGAATTTAATCGAGAAACAGTAAAAATGGCACACGTGAGACCAGGGAGGCTCGGGCATGCAAGAACAGAGCCGGGCAGGATGCAGAGCTGGCAAGCTGCCGTGACGGGACACTCAGGCCTGCCAGCCAGCACCCGGCCCAGCCTGGCTGCACGGGCCACCCCCAGGCCACCCCCAGGCCAGAGACGGCAGCAATCGGAGGGAAGAAGGGCCCAGGCCGTGCAGCACCGTGCCGTTACTTCTGCCCCTCGACACTCTGTCCAGCACACGGATCTGACTCCACGCTGGTCTCCAAGAGGTGGGCGGGAGAAGAGCCCGTCACGCGGGCCGGAAGGCTCCAGCACTGTCCCAGCAGGCACCAGGCAGCCTCCCAGGGTCACGGGACCGGGAGCTTCCCTGCCCTGCCCTCATGTGAAAACACACACACGCACAGTCACCCACAACCCAGACGCACACACACGCACACTCACCCACAACCCAGACGCACACACACGCACACTCACCCACAACCCAGACGCGCACACACACGCACACTCACCCACAACCCAGACGCACACACACGCACACTCACTCACAACCCAGATGCACACACACGCACACTCACCCACAACCCAGACACAAACACATACACTCACCCATAACTCAGACACGCATACACGCACACTCACTCACAACCCAGACACACACACACGCACACTCACCCACAACCCAGATGTGCACACTCACGCACAACCAAGACACAAACACTCATCCATAACCCAGACGCACACGCACACTCACCCACAACTCAGACCCAGACCCACACACACTCACCCACAACCCAGATGCACACATATGCACACTCACCCACAACCCAGACACAAACACACACCCACCCACAACCAAGACGCACACACACGTACACTCACCCACAACCCAGACGCACACACACGCACACTCACCCACAACCCAGACATGCACACACACGCACACTCACCCACAACCCAGATGTGCACACTCACGCACAACCAAGACACAAACACTCATCCATAACCCAGACGCACACGCACATTCACCCACAACCCAGACACACACACACTTACAACCCAGATGCACACACTCATCTACAACCCAGGTACTCACACATACATGCACACTCACCCACAACCCAGATGCACACACACATGAACACTCACACACAACCCAGACACGCACACAGACGCACACTCACCCATAACCCAGACATACACTTACACACATGCACTCACCTACAACCCAGATGCACACACACATGCACATATCCACGACCCAGACACATACACACATGCACACTCACCCACAACCCAGACGTGCACAGACACCCCCAGGCATGCATACACAGACACACTGTGTACACACCAGATGTGAGCACATACTCCAGTCGTGACACAGACGGATGCTGGCTGCACAGATGGACACATGCACCCCCACCCCTTAGAGCTCGCGTCCTGGCTGCAGTCCTGGGCCGACAGTGCCTGGGTGTGGGCTGGAGGTCACCCTCCTGGGCAGAGCTGGGACTTCAGGGCTGCAGCTTTGACTCTCAAGTGGTCTCATTGTCTAGCAGGACTCTGGGGGCAGAGGACTTGTAGCAGGTCCTCGTGCCATCACTCAAGATGGCACTGCTCGGAACCCAGTGCTTAGGAACTCTGCAGAAAGGTCCAGCGATGGGGTGATTCACACCCAGGCAAGTCTGACTCTCAGAAAGCGCTGCGGCTGCCTTCCTGGTCTGGACACTTGAGTCACAGTTTGGGGTCAGTTTTCTGTCCAGAACCCCTGCCCTCAGCCAGACGTTGCATGAGCAGCTTGTGATCTGGGCCCAGCCACAGAGATGTCCAGCTTCCACCCACTTTCCTGAGGGAACCACATGCAAGGGCAGCTGAAGGCCATGGCTGACAGGGACAGTCCTCAGACTGTGGCTTCCTCAGGGTCTTCCTGTGGCTGGAGGGACTGGGGGGCCTGAGGTATCAGGAGAGCAGATGTCCGCTGGACCTATTCACAGAACAGACACTACTGTCCCATGGCTCAGGGGGCATTCGGGGGTGGGTGCTGGGAGCTGGATCTGTGGCAGTGCCCAGCTGGGTCTTGGCAGAGCTGGCAGCAGGACTTGAGGTCCTCCAGAACCTGGGCAGTGCAGCGCGGGGAGGTCTGCACATGCTCAGCTGAGCCCACGAGGTGCCACCAAGTCCCCACAGCCCCTTGGCCGGCACCACCCCCACTCGCAAAGATGCTGGACCTGGGCTCTGTCCCCCACCGCTGCCTCAGGCCTTCTCTCAGCCACCTGGGGGAAACACGCTGAAGAGGACAAAGCGCTCAAGGGGCTGAAAGGTTCTCAGGGTGGCGAGACTGACCCCGGCTTTTCCTGCCTCTGTGCCACCCAGAGCCTCCAGAGCATCAGATGCTACAGCCCCTGAGGCCTGGTGGGGCCGCACCCAGCTGCCTGGCCAGAGGTGGAGGCCAGAGAGCACACAGGTCAGGCTCTGTTGGGTGGGGTGGGGCAGCCTTACCTTCTGCTCATTCTCAGGGTCCTGATAGCCGCAGGCGTCCATGAAGTCTGGAAACATCTCTGACCACCCATCACCTGTGCAGTTCTTGCTTATGTTTCCTGGAAGTCAAGTTGGGGTGTTTGGTCTGCAAGTGTGCTGAGCAGCTGGACTAGGGGTCTGTGCAGTGCAGGCCCCACCAGCTCAGTGCCCAAGTGTGCCTCAGGCTCTACACTGGACATGGACCCCACCTGGCCCTGGCAGAAGGAATCAGACATGTGACACAGAGCACAGGACAACGAGGAGAGGAGTGTGGGGTCAGAGCTTTTCTCGGGACCAGGACTGTCACGCTGTGTGGCCAGGCCCCTCTCTGCAATCAGATCGTGGTTCCGTTGCCAACTCTGCAGCATAAACAGGCTCGAGGTGGGGACGATCATGGTGGCTATCTCAAACAGCCTCGTTTCCTGGCTCTGCTCGCTGGCTCAGGAAGACAGTCTCAATCACACGTTCCAGAAAACGGAACCTTTTTGTTTTCCTCTCTTCACGGCTCCTTCTCTTCTGGTCCCTTCCTTCTCACCCTGACCTGTGCCACCATCCCAGTTCTCTAGCCCAGATGAAAAGCTGTGCTTTCAACGCATGGCGACTTTCTGATTTCCACTGCATTTTCCCTTTTCTATTTCTCGGAGGGGAGTTCTGTTGTTCTGAAAATCTGTGCGTATCATGCAGCATGTTTTTGGGAATGGACATGAAACACACCAAAATAAAATCCCTTCCACCAAGGAGTCCAGCGCTGGCTGGCAATGCCCTGTGCAGAGGGAGAACAAACCCCAACCCACTGCAGGCTATGCCTCTCAGCTACAGCCCAGGAGAGTGATGCCCCCAAGAAGTGAGACTGGGAGGAGTTTCCAGGACGCTGTTGGTTTTGTGGATACAGAGCTCTGGGTCCAATGGGGGCTGACCACATGCTATAGCTGTGGGGAATTTTTGTGGGAGCACCAGGCTCCCCTCTGCACAGTGTATATCTCTGTAGTCATCTCAGTCCTGCTCTGTCCTTGTGTGTGTTGGAGGTGAGCACTATCCCAGTACCTGTGGTTGGTTGTGTGTGTTGGAGGTGAGCACTATCCCAGTACCTGTGGTTGGAGGTGAGACCCTTCCCTGGCCCCGTTGTTGGGGGTGAGACCCTTCCCTGGCCCCATGGTTGGGGGCGAGACCCTTCCCTGTCCCCGTGGTTGGGGGTGAGACCCTTCCCTGTCCCCGTGGTTGGGGGTGAGACCCTTCCCTGGCCCTGTATTGAAGGTGAGACCCTTCCCTGGCCCCGTGGTTGGAGGTGAGATCCTTCCCTGGCCCTGCTGTTGGAGACTAGCACCACCTGTCCCTGTGGTTGGAAGCGAGCATCTGTCTGCCCCTGTGGTTGGCTGGAGGTGGCCCATCAGCTCCCTACATTCCCCTCAGTGCTGATGGCCATGCTGTCTTGGCTGTGAGGAGGCTGGCACTTGAGCTTCCTGGTATGTGTCCCCCATGGGAGTGACGACAGCCTCTCAGAAGTACAGAGGCACAAAGATGGTACCTGGTTTGCTGTAGAAATTGCTGAACACTTTCGGACACGGCACAGTGACAGTTTCGCCAAGCTCTGCAGGCCGCCAGCAAGTGATGTTGTCCCACACGCCACTGCAGGCTGCAAAGGAGAGAACAGAGGTGACCCCAGCCACACCCACAGGACAGCACCCGCAAATTCAGGGTGCCCAGCAAAGAGCATTCCTGAGAGCAAATGCATCCAGTGTGTTCATTTAGTCAGTGCTGGGCAAACTTCCGCACCAGGGATAGAGAGAGTAGCCATGGACAGTATCCCACATCAGGGCAGAGAGTAGCCTTGGACAATGGCCCATACCAGGGCAGAGAGCAGCCTCGGGCAGCATGTACCTTGTGAATTTTAATAGAATCCTTGTCTGTCCCTGGCTGGTGCGGACCCCTCCCTATCCACAGCAGTAAAATGAGAACTGCTCAGTAATAGTTCACTTAAGGAGATGTCAGGTCACAGGCCTAAAGTGCTGTGTGCTCTCAGGGAATACACAGAACTTCAAGGAAAATTCTCAAACCAAATTATTTGATAAGATGGAGTTGGTTTTAGAGGCTGGAGAGACAGTATAGCAGGTGGGGCTCTTGCCTTGCATGAGACCGGCCTGGGTTTGATCCCTGATACCCCATATGGTCCCTTGAGACCCATAAGGAATGATCTCTGAGCACAAAGCCAGAAGTAAGCCCTGAGCACTGTGGAGTGTGACCTCAAAACCAAGAAAGAAAAAAAATGTAGTTGATTTTAGTGGTCAACAATGCCATAGTAGTGATGTAATCTTAGGTTACATTTTTTGAGTCACAAAATAAATTCATTCTCATTTCATACTGCTCTCACTTAAAACATTTTCAAATCTTGTGTTTCATCTTAATAAGCACCTGGGCGCCTACGGAACTCACTTCTTTATTACCCAGAGGGGAGGTCCAAATCTTTCAACCTCAATGATGGAATCCATATCTAAGCTCAACACTGTTTACCTCTGAGGCATCTCTACCTTGTGATCTTGGAAATTCTGTGGTTTAGTTAGACTTCAACAAACTAAATAGCCACATCTTGGATGAAGGTGAGCAAACTGGCTGCAGTTAGGATCAATGGGCTTCTTGCACTGGGTATCCAAACAAGAAGGGCCGAGACAGCTGAGAGAGCATCTCCAAGACATGGCAGAAGTCTGGTGAGTGCAATGGGTCTCAAAGTGTGGCGGAGCGGAGGGACCTGCGGGACCCCGAGACATGCACGGGAGGTTCTGGATGGCAGGCGCCTGTGGTTGGGCATTCGAGTGCAAAGCACTGAGGTCCCAAGTGCCCCTAACTTCAAGACGTGGGCCCCAGCACAGCAGGAACTGGGCCAGCCTGGCCAAGAGGAAATGTGCTCGGTGGGGGCCAGGGGCTCAGCTACCTGAGGGCACCTGCCCCTTGTCTGGGGAAAGTCTGAACCATCACTGCAGACACAATGAAAGCTACACAGCAAGGAGTGCATTGCCCGCGGCTCCAGGGAAAGCACAGCCTTCCACCACAGGGAGAGTCTGGAGTGCCAGCTGGGAGCCACGGTGACAGCCCACACAGGGAGACACATCACAGCCTCAGAGGCAGCAAAAGGAGAGGAAAGCAAGGAAAGAAACAGCCACCTATGTGCACTGATCGGGAAAGGGAAATGAACACCAGAGAAAGCTCCCAGAGGAGTCGGCTGTCCCCGACTGATTTGCATCTAAAGAATTTACAACGCTCCACTTATTGTAGCACTGTAGCACTGTCCTCCCGTTGTTCATTGATTTGCTCAAGCAGGCACCAGTAATGTCTCCACTGTGAGACTTGTTACTGTTTTTGGCATATTGAATACACCACGGGGAGCTTGCCAGGCTCTGCCACGTGGGAGGGATACTCTCGGTAGCTTGCCGGGCTCTCTGAGAGGGATGGAGGAATCGAACCCTGGCTGGCCGCGTTCAAGGCAAATGCCCTACCTGCTGTGCTATCGCTCCACTTATGAAAGAACCAAAGTGCAGAACTCTCATGATACCAAGACATCCCTCTTCCAGTGTTCCGTCCACTCGAGGCAGCACTTGGTTCAGGGCAAAGCAGAACGTGTATGCAGTCCAGGGTTCCTGAGCGCACGTGTGGGAATGATGGGGAGGGTCATGTGGAGGCAGGCAGGTGGGCCGGGACTGGCAAGCACACCGGGCCAGCAGCAGAAGAGCCCAAGAAGAAGGCGAACGTGGGAGAAAGCCTCCTGGACAGTCAGGGGCAGCCTGGCTGCCTGGGAAGAACAGTGAGCATGAAAGAGAGCCCAATTCCCTGCACTCTGTGCCCAGGTATTTGGCCTGTGAGACGGAGGCCATGCAATCAAAGTCTGGACAGAGTCTGTTGTGTTTACACGTGAGACTCTGAAACCCACCTGTGAATCCAAGCATTTCCAATTCTGTAAGATTCTCAATAAAATAACGGAGCCTGTGCAGACTCTTCTTAAAAATGGCGCCATCATAAACGGTTGATAATGGACAGTACCTGACCAGAACCAGATGCGAATGGACACCACAGTGCTGGTATATCATCAAGCAAAATACCAGAAAGGTGAGCTCAAATAGCAGGTGACAGAACATGAGCCAAGTGGTAGCATACGTCAGTCTTAAGAAGTCGGCTCTCCGAGGTGTGTCCCTCATCTGGCCACCCCCAACACAATCTGACTTAACCCTCAATTCAAACAGCTGAAACCTGCAGCAATGTGGCCCCTGGCCCCGGGCTGGGCACTTGGCCTCACCACACAACTCAGCCAGAACCTGCTCTCTCACGGAAGTCCCTCGGGACACCGTTGCTCAGCTGTGGTCAGGTCAGAGCTGAGGTCAGGCCAGCAGCTTGTCAGTCAGCGGCCTCTTCAAGTGTAAGAAAGGAACCAAGACTGCATGCCACGGAGGCAGCTTTCTCCGGCCTGTTTCTGTCAGGGTTTCAGCTGAAGATGCTACTTACAATCCCTGAGCACTTGAGGAATAATGAACTGGGACGTCAGGCAGGAAGTGGTCACTCACCAGCCAGGAAGGGAGAGCAGCCATGTACACAAACACAACTAAGGGTGTGTGGGTGCACCTGACATTGCTGCCCCAAGGGCACTGTGTGGATGCAGCCTGGGGGGGGGCTTCATAAAGCCCCTTGGCCCAAGTACCTGGGTGCCAAGGAGAAAGCACAGGGTCCCTGAGGAAGGGAGCGGGCGGCAGAGGGCTCTGTGGAGGGACTGTGCCCTCCTTGCAACACTCTAGACCACGTGGTCCTGTGAGCTCAGGGCAGCTCAGAGCTCTGCCAGGACACTGGGCTCACCAACAGCTCAGGGGCAGCAGCCGCTGCTCGTGCCACTGGGGTGGGGTTCCACCACCACGAAGGACTCCCCGACCTCAGGTGAAGACCCTCCGCCCCAGAACCCCAGGCGGACCCTGCCAACGGCTGACCGTCTATGCTGCTGAGTCTGGATTCTCACTGTCTGTCACAATCAGCCTGAGTTTATTTCAGGGAAGTCAGAGCATGAGTCTCGAGGCTCAGGGATGACACTCAGAAGCCTTACGACCCTTCACTCCCTGCTAATGGCCACAAGGCCCAGCGGCCTTCATCCTGGCAGAGAGCAGAGCCACACAGCTCTGCTGCTCCTGCTCTTCCGGTCTGGGGCTGCCCTGCCCTCAAGGCTTGAGGCCAGCCCTGACCTTATGCTTGCGGCTGCCCTGCTCAGGCACCGGGCTTCATGTTTCCCAGACAAGCCAGAAGAACAGAGCCATGGAGTCCTGCTTCTTCCATTCACCACACCGAGATGGAAGGATTCTCAGCCCTTGTTCGTCTGAGAGGAAGGGAGTCTGTGGGCAACACTTGGTACCAGGTGGGTGTGCCTGTGCTCCCCTCAGAGCTTCATCCTTCCTTGGTTCTGGGCATGGGCAGTGCCCTGCGCAGATGTTCCAGTGGCCTATACCCCAGTGCCCACATGAGAAGTCACTGGGGACAGTGGTCAGAGCACAGCGGGGTAGCCACACTGAGCCACGTGCAGTGTGAGAGATGCCCAGTCCCGCAGGGACACTCAGGACAGACCGAGCCTGGCATCACAGCTCTGTGGGGACTCGCAGGAGCACCCGGGGGCGGAGACAGAGGCGCTTCTGGTCTGAGGTACCTGCCAGCTGGCAGGGGGCCTCCTCAGGACGAACAGCACCAACAACTTCCTCTTCCAAATGGATTAATTTAAACTTAAAGTCACGAATCCTAGCTGCTTCCAGACTCAGACCGCAGCAGGCAGGACAGTGCAGACCTGCTCTCAGCACCCGAGTGGCACCTAGCGCCGGGCCACCTCTTCTGCCCCACCACCCCCACGGGACCCTCTCATGGCACCTCTGCAGCAGAGGCCTGCGGCTCTCCCCGGATGGCGAGGGGGCTAGTGCTGGGGTGCCCACGGGCGTCCACTGCCTGTCTGTCCTCGAGGGGCTCGTGGAGCGAAAGGAGGAGGAAGGGCTGGGCTTGAGGCACTGAAGTGCTGCCTGGTGCAGAGGGAACGGCGAGGTCTCTGCGGGGGCCCACAGGGCTTCAGCCCGCAGTGGAAACACTGTCCAGCCAAGCTTCCTTTCCTCGTGATTAAGACTGGCTTCTATCCACCTTTAATTTTTCAACTTGAGGTCAAACCAGGAGATTTAAGGACGCACAGCAAGGCAGCAAGGCAATTAAGGGCCAAAGGCAACAGGACTGACATCCACCCCCAGACGGGGTTTGCAGGGCGGGCGGGGGACAATGGGAGAGGCCTTCGGGCTGGCGGGAGAGGGTCTCTGGCGGAGTGTGGTGTGGGGGCACCGCTAGTCAGTAAATCATAGCATCCAATCAGTAACAATCTTCCAAAAGAAGAGCTAAGGAAGCAGCCCCTCTTGGCCCCAGGTCTTGCAGTGTGACCAGGGCCACGGGATCCCGGGACCCTGAGCGGCAGCACAGTGCCGGAGGGGCTGTGGTGTCAGCCCTGCCGCCCCACAGCTGGCCCCAGAGAACACAGGGCCGCAGAGGGCGAGGGCAGGACAGGGGCCCCACGGGCAGCTGTCAGTGCCCTGCTGAGCTCCTCCGTCCTTAGGACGCTCCCACTGTGGTCCTGTTCTGACTGCA